TTACAAAATCTACAGCCCCTATCATATATTTCCAGTAAATTGGCATTAATAAAACATTTTTACATGAAGTCAAAGGCAGATGTATTTTTGTATACTGTTGTCTCTTTGTCTTTACATCAATCCATCCATCCTCATGATTATTCAAGATTGTTCCAGTAAAATCTTTACTATATTTTTACGCAATGTTTGGCTCTATGAAAACAAGCTCCTTTTCAATTTTGATGATTTATAGATTTTTTATTCAGATTCAAAAGTAGGAATATACTTTCAACATGTTCAACATTCTGGTCTTTAACAATAGACCAGTATTTATGCAATATATAAGAGCCTATTGCCCTAAATCACCTTGAGTCTAGAAAATATGAGAATAAATTGAACATTTTCATGTTATCGTACTGAATATGCATGGTATAAAAAAGTTTCCTGCTTGATGTTAAGTAGACATCTATCTGTCAATCAAATGTTTTGTTGTAACGTAATAAACTATACAACAAGACATGATCTTTTGCAAGGATCAGAACAAGCCCATATCCTTTCATTTTAACTGCAATATCAATGCAGAAAAACAAACTTAAAACTATAAATTATTAAATTGATGCACTTCTCCAAAAATATCAGACACAATATGGGAACTAAAACGGTGTAATTATAACCTTTATCAGTAAGTCTATTATGTAAGACTTAAATGAAAATTCCTAAACTTATAAGCGTTATAGATAATTTTACTATGATTTGAAATGATGATGTAATATTACTACATGTACTGCCTCATTGATGCCTAACTCACCTGTTTTATAAGTTAATATTGAATTCTTTGTTAATAATGTTTGAATTAGGTTACACTAAACCATTGAGTAGTGTGGGTGCAGCCATTTTATCAAGATACTATTCAGATTTAGGAGAAATGTGTACACCTAATACTGTTGATTCATTAATACTCTTAGAATACCAATTTCGTTGATTTCGTGGATAGAGGGAAACAAAAAATTTAAATTTTTGAGTAAATGAAATTTTTTTTTTTTAGAAACTTTGATAGAAACAAATGATGAATCAGCAAAATCAAGTACCCTTGAAGTAGCAAATATTTCTCCAACAAGGAATCTTGATTGCAACAAAAAAATTAAATCCACAGTCTTTATATATTTACCTTGTCCAAAAGTACTTCAAAGTCTTTCCCAAACTGTGATGATACATGTATTTTTGAAAGTTGAATCAATAGACAATAGAGATAAATATGTAACAATCTGTTTTGTAATACTGCAACAGGACCATATATTTTTTGGACTGACAAATATTCTATATAGTTTACAAGGTTTTGGTAGGATAATCCACTGTTTGAAGTATTTATTGCCAAAAGTGCTGCTATTGTCACCTATAGGGCAGAAAATTGTTACTATTTACGAAATAGCTATATTGAATTCTATGGTTTCAAACATCATGTTTATTTCACTGTCATGAATTAAGTTTATTTGTCACACATCTGTGGAGCATGAAAACAGTTATTTTGGAGTGTCAAACTCAATGGTGTCTGTTAGAAGAATTTTTAGATAAACAGAAAATCTGTCTGCCATTGTGCAGATCATTCCAGCATTCAAACTTCAGTTTCCCCTCTCAAAATATATGATTTGTTTAATCAAAACCTTTGTTTCAGTCAAATAGAATTGGAATTTGTGTTTTATAAGGCAGGCACCATATTTTGATAATATAATTTGTTTAATGATTAATCACTCGCATTTAAAAGAGTTCAGAAAAGAGATGTTTGTAATGTATTTCATTAAGGATTGGTTTGTCTTCAAATTATTTGAGAATTCAACTTCTTCAAATTAGCTGTTATTTAATTGTGCTGTATTGAGCATATGAAATAAGTCATCTGAGGTTCTTAGTATGGAGTGGTACATGTTAGAACTTATAATTCTCTATGCTAGGATACATTCGTTTTACTGAATAATTGTTAATAAAATTAATGGTTTCTATTTGGAGAAATAAATTACTGGATTATAACTTATTTAATTGAGTTTCTGTGTACTCTGGGGCCTGATTGTGTATCTTCAGATTTATGTAACTGGTAATTAGTGATGAGCAATACAATAGAGAATTAAAATAAAAATAGTATGGTGAGGCTTGTTGATGCATTTCTCCTTCTATATTGTTTTATATTTGTTTAACCAATTTTTTTTTCACCGATTTCGTGTCAATTGAAGCATTTTAGTTGTTAAAGGTTTTGTATGATTTTCCCCATTTAGAGTTCATGGCACTCTGTCAGCTTTTCTCTTATTTAGGTGCAGTTAAGAGAATGGGTTCTAAATTGGATGTTGAATTGAAAGTAAAAAGATGTGACTTACTTTAAATTTTCAGAAATTTTTGTGTACATTTATTATTGCGATTTTTTAAGAATGAACAAAAAAACGAGTTCTTAATATTGCGATAATCACCAAGTCGCTTTATTTTTTACAGTACATATAATAGACCTATCTGAGTTGTTTTTTATGAATGTCAGTTACACTGGTTGACCCAAGGTCAATCCACATATATGACATCATTGAACAATTGGTTCTTACTTTGACTAATAACATAATAGAAAAACAAAATATATGGGGTATAAGCATTATGACAAAGAAAATGTAGGGGGTGGGGAGTTAAAAAATTTGAAAGTGGTCTATAGAAAGATGGCATAATTGATAAAATCAATAAATTACACTTCACACATCTAAGGCCATTGCAATAAAATGTTGTCTCCAAGGTTATTTCCTAAATTTCTTGTGGACAAGAATTTACCTCTTTGTTTATTTTTTGCTTGACCATATACATGGTATCTAAAATACTTTTTAAATCTGTTTTTTGAAAATCTGAATGTTTTCACTACAGATTGTCCTACTCAGAAACCTTTGTTGTTGTATTCATCCAAGAATTTACCATTTTTTTCAAGTTTATCACCAGAACAGACATTAAACACTCAAAATAATATAGTGTCACATATTATTTCAAGTAAATGGAAGTATCTATAATTTTGTTTACTTTTTTTTTAAATTTCTGAGGATTTTCTAAAGAAACGATAGAGAGATTTTAAAAGAAGATATTAAAAAATTGAAACATAACAATTTCAAATGTTCTTGCATGTTTAAGTAACATAGCACAAAAAAACTAAAACAAATAGACAATTTATATTGAAACTTATAATGAGCCAATTGATAGAAATTTATCATATTATAATTTTTATGCCCATTCTCTTTGGAAAGATTAAAATATCATTTTTTTTTTACTGATATATTAGTTGACCTTTCTATAAGCTTGTGAGAAATCAAAACAGACATAAAATTTTAGTTCAAACTTAAGTATTTTGTTTTCTTCTAAATAATAAGAACACCACAAGTTTATTTTTTATTTGTTTAATAGAAAAGTCTGTTCTTCACCAGATATCATTACTGTTAAATTATTTCACAATTTTCAACATATTTCATTTTCAAGTTTCCAATAGAAAAGAAAGGATTATGGTGTATCAATTAATGACATAAAATCACTACATGCAAATGATAAAAAAAGTAAACAGTCCTTGGCATTGAATTACACATCCAAACCTAATAATGAAATATGTTTTATATTTATATATTTATATGTTTTGATAATGGTAAAGCTGTAATTATTCAAGGGACTGGCATGATCAGGCAATGTATATGTATGTCTTATATTTTCAACATTTTTCATTGTTGGTATATTGGAAGTTTCATGTGAAGGTTTGATATAACTTTTGTAAAATTGACTATTTGGGAGAAATTTAATTCTTTTAGTGTTTTTCATTTAATTGATTTTGATTGATTTTTTTTGATTTTTGGTGTTTTAACGCCACTTTTAAGCACCGCTTTTGGGCTATTTCGTGGCGGCCAGTTTTTATTGGTGGAGGAAGCTGGAGTGCCCGGAGAAAACCACGACCTTCGATAGGAAAACTGGCAATCCTAGTTAATTAAGATTGGAGTCGAGTGCACCCGCACGAGCGGGGTTCGAACTCACAACCTCAGTGTTGACTGGCTAGTGATTACAGTAGTAACTACTTAGACCACTCGTCCACCAAGGCCCCTTTTCATTTAATTCTATATAAATTAACCTTAGCATTATTGACAAAAAATCTTTTTTATTAAGGTTAGGTTCATATAAAAAGATTTTCAGGTATTTTTATCAAATTTATATATGATACATTGTACTGTGAAAAATTATGACAAAAACACATTAACTGTTTTACACTGGTTCCCAGGACAATTCAAACATGTGAGATATAGAGTGATTTAAAAGGAAATATAGCTTATTTCATCTGATAAAGAGATATTGTAAACCAGAATCCTTCCATGAATAAATTTAGAAATTTTTTAAAAGAAACTCTTGTTCCAACTCCCTAAGGCAAAGTTGACATTAGATGGATTTGGCTATTCTCTTTAGGTACCTTTTGGTGGTATATTAGCTCTTTACTTTTTCGGGTACTTATACATCCCTGGCATTCAAAATGTAGTATGTGTGCATTCACAATAAAGGTCAATCAAGAAAATTGTTTCTTCTGATACACCAAATTTATATAATGTGATTTTCATCTTCACTTTTCTAGTGTTAATTATCAGAGCGCAGTTTCCATGCATTACCCCTAAAAAAGTTAATGAGAAAATTTACTTACTAAATGAAAGAAATCAAAACTATGTTTTAATTTTGTCTGTAAAAGATCAGCAGTTTCTTTAGTTTGTATAGAGCACCTCCTATTAAGATGAAATATTTAGATTTTGATTTTCTTGTAACATATTAAATATGAGGTCAAATATTTCAACTTGGAAAGCTATTAAATATTTATATTTAAAACAAAATAATTAATAAAAATCTCATGTTTTTAGGGCCAAGGATGGGTGACATTTCAGAACATGGACTGCAAAAACATTTACAAACTTCAATTTTTAAAATGTTTAGAATAGATATATTTAGATAATGGGGATTTAATTTACTGACTTTTAATTTCTTTTTTGCAGGAACCATCATTATTTGCAGTAGCCAAGCTGTTAGAAACTGGTTTAGTAAATCTGTCTCGTGTTGAAGTGCTCTGGAGACCCGTAACAGCCCACCTTTTGGAGGTATGTGTTTACAAAGTTTTAAGATTTGTGATCAACTTGTGACTTATGTGAAATGTTTCAGATTGTATGAATGTTCTCATTAATATAAGAATATCATTTTCATTTAGAAATCAACTTGATTTTTTGGAAAATGCTCTCTATTTCCTGGTACATGTAATTAATTTTCATGCAAAGAGCTTTAAAAAAAAATATAGATATTCAAAAACTATTTTGGATATACAGTGTTATGTATAGCTGTAATTTGAACATTCATACATTTTTGAAATGCATGCAATTAAAGAGAAGAAATGCCTGTTTATTTAATTAATTTGAAAAATATAACCTTTGAAATTGAACTGAGTATAAGCATGGAGAAGAATGGTAGTTTGGTGAAGATCAGATTCAGCATATGAAGACACAGTCAAGAACAGACTTGAGGTAGACAGCACTGTTGGTATGGCAGAATTGGTTGCATTGTAGCAAAAAAAGGGGGGTTGACAGAATGGAAGGAATCTGCAGATATCAAGTTAAAATTTAAAAGGTAAAATGAACAACTAGGTATATTAACATTGATGTAGGGTGACATAAATAAATTATTTAAGCCTGTGTTATTGTGAAAAGCAATAAAATATTCATACCAAAGAAAATAATTTGATTGCCGCTTTTTGGAAAATAAAAATTTCTTTTCCCAAAATCGAGTTATCAAATGCGCTTTAGGCCAGCTATATAATATAATGTTATACTCAACCATATTAAATAATGATTATTCATTTAAGGTTATTTAGATGGTAGCAGCTTTAGGTCACAGTACGGCTTTAAACAATAAAAAAAACCTTACTGCATGGCAAGCTATAAAGACATAACAAAATGTATAATAATTCAAATGAGAAAACCAAATATGATAGCAACAAACTACAACCACTGAATTACAGGCTCCTGACTTTGGACAGGCACATACAGAATCAAATATAGAAATTTTAACCAATCTTTCAAGCCCTTTTTTCATGGTCATATCCTATTTTGCTTGCAGAAATAAGACAAAAAATTAATTTTAAAATAAATGATAGGCTTATCCATATTTAGATAACAGCAGTAATGGTTTTTTTATAACTTATTTTATTTTAAATATTTTATGAAATGACGGAAATGTTTTTTTCAGCTTTGAAAATTAGATTGAAAGAGTCCATAGAGAAAGAAGTAAATAAAAGAAAATACAGGCCAGAAGCCAGTCTTGATACAGGTATTCCTATTAACACAGATAATATGTCCATTTCCTAAATTGTTCTGAAATGTTTTTTAATTGTAAATGGGAAAATTTCAAAAAAGCAAAAAAAGTGTATGCATTTTCACAGTATTTAAATTGAGTGCTAGATTATTAAGCTTGAATTTTTTAATTTACCTTCAAAGCAATCTAATTATATCAGATAGATAGGAAATCTTTTTCAACACTAAACAATCATGTAGTTAAGTTCATTTAGAAAATCCTTAAAAATGAATTAATTGATAAAACAAAAACATATATTTGTTAAAGGAAATAGAAATAGAAATGCATTTAACCTAGTGAAAGTGCACTTGTCCTACAACTGGATCAGTAATAGGAACAGGTGTTAGTTTAGAGCATGCTGAAATGTACATCTTGTGACCAAAATAGAATTGCTGTTGTCATGAGTATGTGCAAAGCATGCCAGTTAAGTTCATTGTGTGTCAAGAGTCAGGTGATCTTGAAATATAGTCAACCAATAATATTTCTTCACTTGCATGATTGACAGGTGCCACAGTAGAGTTGGAATGAAAAGAGAAGGAATTGAAAAAAACATTTGCAGAGCAGCAGAAGACAGCCAAGCAGAAAAAGAACTGTGTAATTGTTTATGGTTCTTAAAGAAAATGACCTGTGAGTAAATAATAATTACCATAAAACAAGAAAAATTCAGTTTTTGTTAAGTTCTGGAAAATGTGATGTCTGTAGTCATGGGTAAACCATTGTATTTAGCTTGAACTTTTTAAAGTTGTGGGTTTGATTTTAATTTCTTTGGTATATTCTTTTTGGGTCATCTCACCCATCTGACCCTAAGGGCTAGTGTTGGCCTTTGCAATGACTTGCCAAATTAGAGTCCATCATCTTTTGCTGTTAACTTTTTTGAAAACAATGAGACCATGTAGAATTTAACTTGGTCTCCTACACTCTATGGGAGTCTTATTTAAAAGTCATGTAAATGACTCTGTGATCAAACTAACATGGTTGTTATGACTGAAAATATATCACAAAAAAGGTAAAAAGCTAGTAATTGTCTAATAGATATAAGAAGATGTGGTATATAAGAAGATGTGGTATGAGTGCTAATGAGACAACTCTCAATCCAAGTCACAATTTGTAAAAGTAAACCATTATAGGTCAAAGTACGGCCTTCAACACGGAGCCTTGGCTCACACCGAACAGCAAGCTATATAAGGGCCCCAAAGATAATATCTTGAAAAGCATGAAAAATATAGAAAATCTTACAAGGCTTACAGGGATAACAATGCTCAAAATGTCCAGATCTACCTACTTTCTTATTTTTTACTCCAAAATTGTATGACGTTTACATATAAGATTTATTGTCCTTGAATCATGATATATAATAAATTTAAACATCTGATGAAGGTAAATCCAGAAAAATACTTTTGACTTGAGAAATTTTTAACGTATTTATTTCATTTGCCTTTTATCTTGAACTATAACAGAAAGGCAAAAAAGATACAAGGTCTTTAAATGTCCTCATATGACTGAAACATTGAATTTACTCCTTATATAAGATATAAGTGGTTACCCATAAAGGAGGATTTCTAACAATTCTATTGTTATATCTTTCATCTTGAAAGTTAATGGATAGAAAGACACTGTAAAAAGCAAAAATGAAAGTAATTTTAAAAGATCTGCAAAAAAGCCAATATGACTAAAATCATCAATTGACCCTTTATAGTTATTACCCTTACAAAGGATTTTTGAGTGTAGTGTTTTTTCGCTATATTCTTGAAAACTTTTAATAAAAAGACAGAAAGTATAAACAGCAAAAATGATCAATACAAGATCTACAAAAAACTCAATATGACTGAAACCATCAGTTAGTTGACCTCTCATAGGAGTTGTTGCTTTTAGAATGATTAATGTCACCATTTTTGCTTTTTCACTTTTAATCAGAACTTTTCAAAATTAAAAGGGAAAATCTGAAAGGGGCAAAAAAGATTTACTGATAAACTATATCTATTTTTTTTTAATCTTTTTTTAATATAAACTGTCCTGTGTCAGGAGCCTGTTGTTCAGTGGTTGTTGTTTGTTGGTGTGGTTCATAATTGTTTCTCGTTTCTAGTTTTTTATATAGATTAGGCAGTTGGTTTTCCTGTTTGAATTGTTTTACACTAGTCATTTTGGGGCCCTTTATAGCTTGCTGTTTGATGTGAACCAAGGCTCTGTGTTAAAGGTCGTACTTTGACCTATAATTGTTTACTTTTTAACGGGATTTTCAAAGGAAATATCGGTTATTGATTTGGGGATGTACGGCGGGCGGGTGTACGGGCGGACTGGCGTCTGCCAAACAGTCTCTCTTCAATAACATGAAATCGCTGTGATGATTTTTTTTCAAATCTAGATATGTTGTTTCTTGTGACTAAATGAAGGTCTAGTTCAATTTTCACTATTTTAGTATTTATCCTTTTTGAGTTATCGCCATTTTTAATATCCAAAAGTGGTATATTTAAATATTTTTCTCTTGTTATCATATCATGACTAAGCGTAGTAACTGTCTTATCTCAAAATTAGAATTGGAGTGACAGATTTATTTGAAAATTTTCTATTTCCTAAGTGGTGATGATTATAAGCTATATTATTAGACATTTTGAAGTTAATTACATTATTAATTGTTATATATGTAATGTTAGAGTACTATGTTAAATAATAGTTCTGTTCAAAAGAATAACCCTTCAGATTTGGGAAATATCTTAGCATATGATAATCATTGGAGTGACAGATTTATTTGAAAATTTTCTGTTTCCTGATAAGATCTGTAGGACTGTATATATAAAGTTTGAAATTTACTAGAAGGACTGTATAAATGAAGTTTACTGTTCATATACAATATTAGGTCAATGTCAGAAAAAGAAACTTTTTTGTATGAGGCTGAGAAACTGGGGAAGGGTGAGGTTGTACCGAGCCCTTCCCCGGTTTTGTGCCAAATACAAAAGTTTATATTTTTCTGACATTGACCTAATATTGTTTTTATACTGCATTTTAGATTAATACGTTGATAGCTATTTGAATTGTAACACAAATTTCAAACTTATTTTCATCCCTTAAAGATGTTTGCTACTCTGTTTCAAAATAACAAGCTTTTTAAAAGACTGTTATAAAGAATTGGTATATAAATAAACGAATAAAAAAGCAGAAAGAAATTAAGGGTCTGTGTGCTTGTTTTCAAGATATAAGCCATTGAAAATTTGGCGGGAAATGATTCTCTCTAGATTTTTCATACATTTAACATCGGCTGCTTTTCATATTTATACGCCCGTTTACGGGACGTATTATGGTATACCGTTGTCCGTCTGTCTGTCCGTCTGTCCGTCGTCAACATGTCGGACATTAACTCAAAAACGCTTTAACCAATTTGCATAAAACTTTGGTGAATTGTTTATATCTATTGACGTGAGCTCCCTTTCTTTTTTTATAAATTTTAGATTTTACGTTTCCGAGTTATGGGGTTTTATTCATTAAAAAAAGGGGGATTTTCCAGTTTTTGGACAATAACTCAAGAATGCTTTCACCAACTTGCAAGAAATTGTGATGAACTGTTTATATCTATTGACATGAGCTCCCTTTTGATTTTTATAAATTTTAGATTTTACGTTTCCGAGTTATGGGGTTTTATTCATTTAAAAAAAGGGGATTTTCCAGTTTTCGGACAATAACTCAAGAATGCTTTCACCAATTTGCAAGAAGTTGTGGTGAATTGTTTAAATCTATTGACATGAGCTCCCTTTTGATTTTTATATTTTTTAGATTTTACGTTTCCGAGTTACAGGGTTTTATTCATAAAAAAAGGGGGATTTTCCAGTTTTCGGACAAAAAATTAAAAATGCTTTCAGCCGTTCTTATGAAACTTTGGTGAATTGTTTATATCTATTGATGTAAGCTCCGTTTAGAATTTTATAAATTTTTCATTTATCATTTCTGAGTTATGGGATTTTATTCATTAAAAAAGGGGGGATTTTCCAGTTTTCAGACAATAACTTCAGCAGTTCTTATGAAACTTTGGTGAATTGTTTATATCTATTGATGTAAGCTCTGTTTAGAATTTTATAAATTTTTCATTTATCATTTCTGAGTTATGGGGTTTTATTCATTAAAAAAGGGGGATTTTCCAGTTTTCGGACAATAACTCAAAAATGCTGTCAGCAATTCTCATGAAACTTTGGTGAATTGTTTATATCTATTGATGTAAGCTCCCTTTACATTTTCATAAATTTCTAATATGACATTGAGAATTAATTGAACTTTATTTGTTTATAGTCTGACAACAGATTTACTAAGTATTGCGCAACAGCACAGTGTATTGCACAACAGCAAAAAATCTTTAATTGAATATAAATTCAATTCATATAACCAATTTCAAGTTCTTTGACTACGTTTATTCAGAAACCTATAATATGTCAAATATTTAATTACAATCCAAATTCAGACCTGTATCAAGCTTGAATATTGTGTCCATTTTTGCCCTTACTGTTCAGGGTTGGACCTCTGCGGGCGTATCCAGCTGCGCTCAGCGAAGCAGTTTATTAAAACTTTGAAAAAATAACAAGGATTTTATAAGATTTATAAATATGGCTTTCAAACTATATTTAAAAAACAATTATGAAAAGAAAAGTAGGGGTTAGTGGACAAATTTTTTAAATGGCAAAACATGGATAAAACCAGAGGATTCCGAAAATATGGCAAAAATTCAAAAACAAGAGGAGTGAACATCCTTAATGAACCCCTGATTGTGGAAAAAGTGTTCCATGATGAAATTGACATTGTACAAAATATAGCTTTGTTACTATATTTAGGAAATAAACACAACTGGTTGCAGTATAAATTATTAGACATTTTGTAGATAATTAAGTCTCCCTAAACCATATATTCTTACCCCCACCCCCCTTCAATTTGAGAATGTGCTTTTATCTTGTTAATGGTCGAGATCCCCACCCCTAAACGATATATTTATACATTGTGACTTGGATGGAGAGTTGTCTCATTGGCACTCATACCACATCTTCTTATTTATATTCAATACAATTATGGATAGAGATTAACTGTAAACAGCAAAATTGATTAACATGCAAATTTGGATCAACAAATTATCTAATGATCTATAATGTTGGAAAACAAATAATTTAACATTGGAGGTGAAGGGCTTAAAGGATTTTTATGCCCCCGCTGTAGCGGAGGGGGCATTAAGTTTTACCCTTGTCCGTCTGTACGTCCATACATCCATATGCACGTCCCAAAATTGGTTTCCCTTCTCTAACTTTAGTCTGCCTCAACCAAATGTTATGAAACTTATACACAATGCTTACTACCACAAAACACAGATCTAGATTTAATTTTAGTGGCGTCACTTTTACCGTTCTAGAGTTATGCCCTTTACAAATGGAAAAACTGCTGAATTTTTCGTTTCCGTTCTCTAACTTTAGTTTGCCTCAACTAAATGTTAGGAAACTTATACACAATTCTTATTACCACAAAACACAGATCAAGTTTGAATTTTGGTGGTGTCACTTTTACCATTCTAGATTTATGCCCCTTTACAAATGGAAAAATTGCTGAAATATTCGTTTCTATTCTCTAACTTTAGTTTGCCTCAATTAAAAGTTATGAAACTT